GCCTTAAACTGAGATTAAAGGTGAACACAAAGAAACTTTCCCCCTTCAGCTGATGCATGTAAAAAAAAAAAAAGAAAACAAAATAGGCATACTTCTGCTGTCAAACTCTGCACATACATCATTCTGAACAATGAAGCTCAATAAGCAATAAACATTTTTGAGTGTGGGGGTGGTGCAATATAGTATTGCACTAGTTTGACTGCACTTTTTTAAAAGTGTAATTTGTGTAAATGTACCACCTTTCCTCGTTACTGCTTACTTTTTGTATCTATCACTTTGATAGGAACTCAGGACTCAAAAAGCATTATTATAATTTGCTGTCCATGAAAAACTATATAACTCATCTATTTGTTGGTATTGAAAATTTCAGATTAAATTTTAGTTAAAAATGCGTTTTGGTTAACTTACAGTTGCACATCCACTGAGTAGGCATAAAATTAGCATTGATTAGGAGTAGCGTTTCTGGCCAGTCCAACATTCACAACCCATTCTCAGTTTTTTGTCTTTACTAACTCCTGAGGTAAATATCTGGCTCTGGTAAATGTTTCACTATGTTTACCAGCTAGCTGTCTGCTGTTTGGTGCTGGGCAGGTAGCTACAGTTGGTTTATCAGAACGGAAAAAAGAATCCGGCCGATCAAACCATCTACACCTGAAGCAGCTGCAACCGCAGCCGGAGGCTCCTTGAGTAAAATCAGCTGATCGCTGCTGCGCCACAAAAGTGTTTAATTGATGTAACGCAGCAATCGATCAGTTTCTAGTGATGTGAATAGCAAATAAACATGTGCAGAGAAGTGTTAAATGATACCAGGAGATGAAGCCAATGGAAAGCCAAGCTTGTGGTGATAAACTTGCAACAGTGACTGACATGCCTGAGACCGCAGCTAAAGGTGAGCGGAAGTTAAAATCACATAAGAGAAAAAAATGGCGTGCTCTTCTCTTTCTTCTTCTCTTTCTTTCCGTGTGTTGTTGAGTTTTTGGCTGCAAGCAAAACCATACAAATAGTCAGTTTTTGTTGGATCTGGCTACAAAAAGTATGGAATGAAGCACTGATTTGAGTGGAGAGGTTTGGATTCTACTCCCTACTAGGCTATTTCTGGCGATCCAATAAAGGTATCAGTAGATACCCATACCTAACTATGAGTGACCCTTTTCACATTGCTCATAGTTATATATATATATATAGTAGTTAGTGAAACCTCCACTAGCTGCCATTAAAGGAAAAGAAATGAGCAATAAACCCTGTCTTAAAACCACATGACTCTGGTTTAGTCATTTGTTCTTATGTAGCCAGCTTGTCACCCACTGAGGTAATGCTTTGTCTCTGGTTGCCCTAACCTTGACAGATTATTGGCTGCACTGAGAAAACCCGGACCATTTTATAGGTTGAAAATATTGGCAGGGGAAGGCATCCTTGTGAGGTAAGCAGCTGTGCTGGCCATATTGTGTATCGATCCACCTTGTGCTGTGATGGCTGCACTTAATTAAATTTATATTGTAAACAAAGACTCACAGTATGAAATTTGAATTAGCAGGTAAATGTTATCCATCAAAGCAAATATTAATGTTTTGTGCAGTGTGATGCAGTATTGGTATTTCGGAGATTTATCTGGGCTGCAAACGCAGGGAGAATATTTTACCCTTAGGGTTTACTGCAGGATGTAGAGCTGCAAGCAGTCTGCGTACTGTTTCCCTCGTCTCGTCTCGCGTTGCTCAGTGACAGACACATCAACCGCCAAATAAAAAGAAACATGCAGGAAGGCAAACACACAGGCGTGCTCTCGCATCTTTCCCTAGAAAAGAGAAATAGGGAGATACGTGAGGCTTTGAAGCTAAAAAAAAGGGGGAAAAACCCACCTAAGGCACCAATCTGCTCATTCCATAATAGTTGCCCCAATCTGACTCCTCAATTGTGTTGTTATACTCCGCAGGGCTACTTTTTGACTGCACCTGCATAAGTCGTGGCTCCAGGAAACCCCACATTGTCCTGTCCTAATCAAATTAAAACGTGTACAGGCATGACTACTAACATTGTCAGAAAAACCTCAAGGATATGGAGCAGATTATTGGAATTCAATCTGTAATTAAACACTCTTCCCCCCTGTCCCCCGCGAGACAATCAGTCTCTTACGGAGAGAGGAAGGGGGAGAAAAAAGCCCCTCAGTTACTTTAAGGTCTCATTTCTGGCTCCAGATATTCCTCTGTACACAGAGAGAGGGTGGTGCACAGGATGATCCAGCCAGATCGCTGTGTTAGCTCTTGGAGTAAAAGTCAAGTGTGGGTGAGCATAATGGTTCAAAATAGATTGAGCGAGGGAAGCTGGGGTTCAGACCTTTGCTTCTCTGTGTTTATCTTGGAATCAAAAGACTTTGTTTCCTGCACAAAGTCAGAAGGGATTCAGATGGTTTTCTGATTCTTGTTTGAGGAGGTTCATACATATTCCCATTGGTTTAATGTAGGATATACAAATACCTGCAAGTGCCTATAGTCACTTTTTCTGTGCGCAGTGTGTATACTTACTTCTGAAGAATCACTGATGTGTATATTCACTCCAACACTGTTTCATGATAGAGATATTGGCACAAAGTAGCTTGGTCCTCAGTGTTTGTGATGCCTGCCAGGTCAGAGAGAGGAAACAGGCAACTTCAAAGTAGCCTGACAACAGGCAATTTCATAGGCTACACTGTGCATCTGTTGTACTCGTTACAATCTCGGCCTGCAAGCCTACCAGTACATAGTTAACCCCATTTAGCTCCCATGTCCACTGAGATGGATGGCACATGTTTAAAAGGTGATGGGGAGGAGTAAGAAACTTTCTCACCTTTAAAGTGTAAATCTAATGTTAATCTATGTTTTTATTGTGTACATTTTAACTGAATGTCCATCCTTGTGTACATGAGGTTTAAAGGATCAAATCAAATACCCTCCTCCTCCGTCATTAAAAAAATCCAGACTATATGAATATGCAAACATTTTTCATTTCAGAAGCTCAACTACTGGACACAAGACATATCCTGTACTTCCCTGAAAAGTCCGTTCTCAGTGTAAGTGCATTGGAGGCATCAAGTTTCCATACAACACTTGTGTAAGTTGCATTTTTGTCCACTACTGGTTTCTAATCTAGTTGTGATGTCACAAAACGTGAACACAAAGAAACTTTACCTCTTCTTCTTCTATCATTCTGCACAATAAGCAATACACAATTTTGAGTGGGAGGGACTGCAGTATAGTATTGCACTAGTTTGCTGTACTTTTTTAAAAATGTAAATGTACCTCTTTTCCTTGTTACTGCTTACTTTTTGTTTGGGAGGATCTCAGGACTCAAAAAGCATTATTATAATTTGCTGTCCATGAAAAACTATATAACTCTAATCTATTTGTTGATATTGAATATTTCAGATTCAATTTTAGTTTACTTACTATTTAAAATATGCGTTGTCACTGAGCTGAAAATAGGGCTGTTCTTAGCTAATGTAAAGTTGACATGTAGGAGATACAGTACATAGTACAGTACAGCAAGAGGAAGTGGATTTAAACATGTAAAAAAAAAAGTAAATATTTAAATTGTATCACATTGCCACTAAATTGCTCTACTCAGCTATGGAGCCTATAGTGTAGATAGTGTAGCAATACAGTCATTGTGCAAGTGTCATCCACTGAAGTCAACTCAATAGCCCTTGAAAACTCTATTGGAAAAACAACACAACGGCAGATTTTGTGTTAAGCAGTCATCATTGTACCAAACTGTTCAGTGTAAAGCATAAATGCATGATTATATGGATTAATGCCTTCATTTTCTTTCACTATTATGACCTGCAATTGTGTGGAACCCCTCTCATTCCGTGCCAGTCACGTAGTTTCATACTTTCAATCACTTATTATAACTGATGAAATCTGTGTGTTAAATAATTGTTGCAGCTTGAAAAGCCAGAAATAACATCTCAAACCGATGTGTCCAATGTCTCCTAGCAGTCAAAAGAGGGGGATCTTTCTTTCTTTGCCTTATTTTGATTGTGCTGGGTCAGAAACCACTGCTGATGCCGACATGTAAAGCAAGTGTGTATGTATTCACTTTTTGTCCTGGACTCTCTTCATGTGTGCTGGGATTGGCTCCAGTCCCCCGTGACCCACAGCAGAATGAGTCATTTAAACCTCTAATGTTCTTTTCTATTGTTTGGTAGAGCACATTATGAGTTTGCGATACCTTGTTGAAAAAGTAGGCGCACTCTGTTCAACTATGTTAAAACCAGAACTAGGTTGCTTTCTTCCAGGAAGGAAAAAGCACTCCTGGCATGTGACCTGTTTATGTTTTTGGCGTTATTTAGTTTCAGAAGGATTACAGAACAGAATTATGTATATGAATTCCCTTAAAATGCATATTTTTTTAGAAAACGCTCTACTCATTGGTTCAGATGTCCATTAAAAGCAAATGTGCTTTTACTAACAAGCTATTACAAATCTGAATATTATTATGTAATATAATGTTTTCTGTGTTTTAATGTTTGGACATTGCCCTTGTCTATAAAAACAGTGATTAAAAGGTCCCCCCCCCCCATTTTAATGAAGACAAAAGTGCACTTTTGCTGCAAATGGACATCTAAACAGGTTGGTGTAGCGTCATGATTTAAAAAAAACTAAGTGGGGGAGTTTGGGGGAAAGAAAGCTTTTTGCAGGTAGTGTCCAGAAAAACAAAGACATGCAATAATAATAATAAATAATTAAAAAGTTAGTTGCTGGTGCAGTTAAGGAATAGGACCTTGATTAAGTGCATGTCAGTACTAGCTGATTGGGGGCCTTGATACCTTTCCCCACACATCTTAGGACTCCAAGCCAGAGACGTTCTGGTCATAAACCCACCTGATCATCTGGGAAAGAAAAGGAAAACTTTCATTTTTAGTCACTTTCTTTGTGACAGAACACATACACTTATGAAAAGTAAGACCAGAATAAGATCACTGTAATTTTTACTATGATGACCTTGAACACCAAGACCATCTAAATTTGCAGGGGACATTTCTTTTCATGTATTTAATTTATTCTTAAAATATTTCATGATAAAAAATGTATGTAAATGACTCTAATACTTCTGTGACGCTTCCTCCGCTTTCTCTTCTCTCTCTCTCTCTCTCTCTCTCTGTTTTGTTCATCGCCATCGGAGAGAGGCAAGATTTGTGCGAACAAACACAAGCACAAAAATAAATTAAGAGATCAAAACCCAAAGAGAGGAAATGAGTCAGTATTCCACACCGTGTACAATACAATATCATAGCAAATTAGCAGATTTCAATGGCTTCCACTGACTACCATAGATTTACAATGTTCAGTTGGCTGCAGATCAGTCCTCAATAAATTGTGTCACTTTCCTTTTTTTTCATTAATGGTTCTGATAGACAGTGACTTGTAGATGACCATGAAAAGAAAGCGGCTACTGAGGTGTGAACAGAAAACCTGGGACTACGAGCCAGCAGTAATGAGAACAACAGCGTTTGTTCACATCCTACTAAACTGCCATTGTGACCACATTTTAAGTCCAATAAGCTTCTCTACAAAGGTACAACATATAAAACTGTTAAATATATAACTTTTTAGGGCCTTTCAAAATACATTTAATGACATTTCTTTACTCCTTCTTTTCAGACTCAACAGCGTTTATACTCTCTGTAGATAATCATCATCTCTTTGATATGATTTGCAATCCGTGACCAACACCACAAAATCCTGCAAGCTGTCCCAACCGTAGCTACTGAAAAATGCAAATCAGATTTATTTTTTTTGATACACAGTTATACGTATGTAGTACCTATAGCTCCAGTTTCAAAATACAGTGGTGGGCTTAGTCTGAGAAAAAAAAATGTCTGGAAAGTTTTAAAAGTACTCCTTTGATTGTGTACGGTACATATGCCACCAGACGCAAGGTTCATTTTGCATGGGCCCACTTGGGCACCGTGTCTCTGTGGGGGCAGTCGCTGGTTGGTGGCGACACAAATAGCAAGTTCACAAAGTCTCTGTGTGTCTTTGCCAGATGGTCCACTCTGTCATAATGATCGTATTTGTTGTTTTGCTCTTTGGTCTATAAAAATATGGGAGGTTTACTCCAGCAGAAGGCCTATTCACAGCGGAGCACGCTCAGTTCGGTTTTTACGGCCTCGAGAGGGGGGTCCAAGAAGCAACAGGGTCTGGTCTGTAATGATCCCTTCTTTGCTCTGGAACTCCTGCTCCAGAGGCTAGGGTGTGATATGGGAAATTCCTCATTCAAAGCAATTAGCAGTTTCAAACTTCCAATGAGGCAAAAACCATTGATGGGGTTTTAAGGTGTTCGATCCTCCGTGGCATGAGCAGGCGCTGCCAAGTTCACAGAGCAGGCGAGGAGGTGGACGCAACATTTTGACCCGACGATGGATAGCAGGAGGGAGCAGTCACATACCAGGAGGAGCCAGTCACAGGAAATAGAAGGTGTTTTACAGCGAGTAGTTTGTCCAGTGTCCAGGGGGGAGCTCGCTCCCTCAAACAGTCACTCCCTGGTTTGCCCGTCTCTGGCTGTGTTATGAGACCTGTGAATCAACAAGAACAGAGCAAACATGAGATGATTATTTCTGAAAGAATCACTGAGAATCACTTCTGAAGGTGTATTTACACAAAATGCATATAAATTTTTTCCCACATTTTCTTTGCAGGCCTCCTGCCTGTAGCTTACATTGAGCGCTTTGTGATTTGAAATACATGATATAAATAAAAATATGATCACGTTCTTACATGCAGCAGTACATAAGATCTTTTATTTAACAATTCAGAAATTTACATTTACCTAAGTCTGAATGAATGAAAGTATGAAGCTAGAGCCAGCAGATGGTTAGCTTAGCTCAGTATAAAGACTGGAGATAGCTTTAAAGGTGCTAGTAGGCGCATTTTGTGTTATACATGATAACTCGCTGCACAAAACCCCTTAAAATGCCAGATTGTCATTTTTATACTACACAGTTTAGTTCAGTGAGCTTTAGACGTGCTGTTAGATAGATTTTGTAAATGGTAGACAGAGTCTGGCCAGCTGTTTCCCCCATTTACAGTCTTTATAATAAGCTAATCTGACCGCCTGCTGGCTGTAGCATTATATTTAGTTTACAGACATAAGAGTGGTTTCTATCTTAATATCGCACAAGAAAGCATGCATAATGGCCTCTCTCACTCTACCTCTCTCTTGCCAGTTATATGACAAAATTGATAATGCTCCCATGTCTTTAAGCTAAATACAAGAGGTTACAGCCAGCAGATGGTTAGTTTAGCTCAGTATAAAAAAATGGGCTCTGTCTGAAGGTAACAGAATATACCAACATCTCTCAAGCTTACTGCGTAACAGGTTCTATTTCCTTTGTTTAATCTGTACAAAAATCAGAGTGCAGCCTCTAACTGTTTCCAGCCTGTATCCTAAGCTAAGCAGCCACTGGCTATAGCTTCATTTTTAATAGACACATATCGTAATATTATGACTTCATACTTCACTTTACTTTCAAAAGAAAGCAAATAAGCATCTTTGCCAAAATGTTTAACTATTCTTTTAAAGAATGTTTTTAGGGGAGAATTTGCATTGTGTATAGCTAAACATTGCTCCTTCCCAAATGGAGGTGTTAATTACAGCACTCTGATTGCATCCTCAGATGAAAAATACAAACTCAACAACTTACTCTTTGTCAAATCAAGTGTTTTCTCAGTCAAATATTTAGAATTCTTCAGTGGGTGTAACCCAATGACAAAGCCAGTCTCGCTGTGCAGAGACTAAGAAACAATTAATCTGCCACAGAAAGACAAATCTAGAAGCCTCCTCACCATCTGGGCCCCGCCAGTCACACCGCCAACTTGATAGAGGCGCCGATGCCTTACAGTACAAGACGGCTGCATTACCACTGAAGATTAATTCATAATAATGAACTCAGAGTGCAAATTGCCATGAAAGGGGCAGGTGTTGAATGGAGTACTAGCATGTATTACAGATGGCAAAATCTGATGCTGTGGGAATAATAAACATCTCAATGAGCTCAGGGGTTTTACAGAGATAATGTTATGGAATTGTTGGGCGTGAAATAACCCACCGGTATAACAGCTTAAAGCGAGGGCATGACTCTGCTAACTGCTTGACTGCGACTGCTGCCCAGTGAACAGTTTCCTGTGGGAATGCCTCCTAGCGGGCACACTGAGATTAAGGAGTCAAGGAATCACAGATAAAATGGAAGGAGAATAGAATCACTGCATGGAAACCTTCTTGTAGAAATCTGAGAGGAATGGAATGCAAATGAATTTAAATAGACAGCAGACATAGAGACGGTCTTATTTTATGTAAGCTACCACAGTGTCTACCATGGTAATTTTCTTATATTCTCTCCACGGTCCTCTCCTTTTTTCTCACACCCACACTGTGGAAAATGGTTCCCCATAAATCTCACACACAAATCTCATCTCAAGGAAATGCAAGCCTTCTATTAAAAAGAGGAACGAATGTCAGATGAATATGAGATGAATTTGCCCTATGAATAAAATTCACAGGCCCTAGGTGATTATTACCTCGGGTTTATCAGGAAATGACCATATTACTCTATTTTATATATTATAACAGCAGTAGAATATTTTACATTCTGGTGCTGCAGGAATGCAGAGTTGAAGGGAAATGTGATGCAGAGCCTGTCTGGCTATTGAACACACAGACAAACTCTGAGTACAGTGGGGTCTGGCTCTTCAAACAAGACCAGAAAGAGAATTAGGTGAATTCAAGTGAGACTGATAACTGCCGCAGGTGTCACAGTAACAGAAGGGAAAGTCGTGGACAGAACCCATCTGTGTTAATGTGTAATTTGTGCAGCCGTCTCTTGTTACGGAGCAAGCAGGCAGTCCACTCAATACATGATATGCACCCAGCAGCACTGAATAGAGGATGGGGAAAACATCTGATTTCAGGGACACCGCATGGAGTTTCCTGTCTCAGAGCTGAAATGCTTTGATGTAGAAATGAGAATGTTCATGCATTTATGCTGTCCTTTATATGGATTTTGCACGTGCAAGTTAAAGTGCATCTGCTAGAGCTAAAGTAAATTATACACAATACATAAGTAGTCCCTCTCCAGCTGGGAGTTACAGGGTTTAAAGTAAAATGCACCTGAGCATGTGGCTACAGCTTGACATTTCCACTCGGTGTGAACTCTTGCTGACTCCCTTCAAAATGTCACAGCGCAGTGACCCACAGTGAACGTGTGAATGGGCATGCTTGAAAGAAAATTGATCTACTTTGCTTCAAACTCTTATCGAGGCTCTGATAGATGTGAATAATGCAAAATCTCGGGAGTATGCAGTTGACATATGATTGAATGATTTTGTACATTCACTGGAAGCTCTGCCAGAAGGCAAGGTGGTGCCGAAACATCAGCTAATGGAATAAAGCATTCTCTACTCCCTATACTTGTTTCCCATACTTGTCCCTGCCCTCGCTGTTAAGTCTTGTGCAGTCGAGCACACTTTCTGTTGGATCGGAGCGAGTAAGCTGCACAATAGCCTGCTAGATGAATATTCATAAGTGAACTTGTAGGTTAGGAATGATCCACAGGTTAATAAGGCAAGGGAAATCGCTCATTACATGCTGTGAAGTTGGATAATGCCTGAAGCAGATGCCGAGATCAAAACACATGAACATGTATGCGCGGGCCTCTAGACACTAGCCCCCATTCCACATTAAGAGAGAGTTCAAAGCTATCTGGGGTGTTGTGTCATTATCAGCCCTTTCATACTGCATTTCTTCAGAACATCAAAGCAAACACAGTTCACTATCTCCATTCTACAATATGATCAGAACTTTAATGCTCAAGAGGGAACATTAGAACAGATTTAACAGCGCACTCCTACCACAGTGGCTTCAGAAAGGAAGAACAAAATGACACTGATCTGAACAAACAACATATCCCTCAAAACACATTGTAAAGATGATAGTTAATAAAATATAAGCTACTATATTGTATGCCACTGGATGAGACCATATGATTACAGGCGATATGGTATTGTCTTCCTTTATGCAGTATATTATGGGTTCAAATGTTTCAATCCAATCATAGATAGCCTTCTCTATTAATAGACAATAATCTTCTAAATGATGCTTTGTGAGAGGATGTGAGTTCACGGCATGCATTCTACCCTGTGTCTATTTATAGTTTCAAATCTACTGAAGACTTGCTGTCTGGACTGAAAAGCAAGCAAGATTTTTATTCTCGAAAGCGAAACATATCATGGACCATAAATGCTGACAATGTTGACCAACAAAGGAGCCTGGTTTTCAGAAACTCTATGAGACTGGGCATTTTTATGACTTTGGCCTCATCCCTTTTACTCCAATGTATGTTAAATTTACTACATGCCTACTCTCCATTTCCCAGTCACATGCATTAATATCAGAGTATGCCTGGCGCCTTGTTTTATTTGAGAGCACAGACGCCACTTTAAAGACAATATACAAGGCATGCCAATAAAGCACAGCAAAAACAAGATGAAAATAAACCGACCAGGTTTTACTGGTATTACTGCACACATGGATTTTCTGTGTTTAAACACTCACGAGGGAACTGGTGAGCTTATGGAAAAATGAGTACACCAACTAAACATATCAAACAAGCAGACGGTTGTTTGAATTGCGTCTGGATTTATGTGTGTCCGTGCTTCCTGTTGTTTGCATGTTCTGCTAAAGCCGGAGGATGATGTGTCTGTGGTCTAATAAATACTAGAATATTGGTTGTAATGATTTTCATCAGATTCTGAAAAAAAAAAATACTACAAGGATGAAATTAAATTACTCACTTTATCAACCCCCACACAAAATAGAGCTTGTATAAATTGTGTATGTGCAGTGCCCACTGACTTGCCACGAATAAGATGATCACTTTCCTTATTTTCTAAATTAAAAAACTTTATTATAAGATAGACTATTGTCTATGAATAACAAAATAAATATATGCCTGAGCTCCCTTTTCAGAATGTCAGTCACAAATGAAAAGAGATTCAAATTCAGGGGCTTTCTGTTGTACCTTGCTGCCTCCATGAGGCCCTTGGTGGCCTGTAGCTGCTTGTGTTGCTTCCTGCCTTTGCGGGACCAGGGTTTGGGTGGAGTTGTTGTGATGTTGGTGGTGGTGGTAGGGTGGTGTTGGTAGATGGTTTTTGGCTGTCTGTCAAGGGGTCATCAATGCTCTCCATAGTGCAAGAGTGTTGAGGGGGACTCTTGTCGCGTCATAGAGCCTGAGGGGAGAGAGGGAGAGGAGACGGGGAGGTGGTATGGTTATCAAGCTCATAATGAGGAGGCAGTGTTTTATTTTTTACGTTTTGGTTTTCCAGATTTTAGACACACTCACACCGCCACCACCACCACCATTATAAATTTCATTTCACTAAAGAGTCTTGAAACAGTGCCTACTTGGCTTTGTGTACACCCATCAGCTGTTCTGTCCATATGAACTATAAAAGTGTGGGAGTAAAACAGCGTCTGATTCTGCGTAACAGGAATCCACATTGAATCAAAATACAAAGAGGCCTTGTGTTGTTCCATTGATGCTTTAAATGATCATTGACTTGGTGAGCATTAAAATGAAATAAAATGGCAAATGGCAATAAATTTAAAGCCATTTGTCATTTTCTTATACTAGTTATTGTTAAGCATAATAACTGTTTAGCACTGTTTAGCAATAATTGTTTAGCATAATAACCCTTTATAAGTATGCCTCATTTAAGCATCATTCCCCTTCCATCTTTTTAGCCACACCAACTAGACCAGACAAAAAGATATCAACAACCATCGGATGGATTGTCGTGACATTTAGTACATTCAGAGTCCCCAAAGGACAAAGCATGCTGACTTTAGTGATCCCCTGAATTCTAGTAAAATTTTAAATTTATCTGATTATACTATCACCAAATTCCTGCAAAATGGGTTATGGCCTAAGGCTCGCATATACTCTGGAGCGGACGTGCACACGGACAGCTGCGGACCTCAAGGACGCGGATTACTTCTGTTTATGATACTTTCTGGAGTCAACTTTGCGATTCATTCCACACAAGCACGTTAGATAGGTTGGTGCGCTGGTAGCATAGGTCATAGAAAATGGGAGGCATGCGGACGTCCACACAGACTCTACACGTACCCCCTCTGATGATGATTTTTTCGCAACGCGGACCCTCGCATACTCATGGACGTAGAAAGCGTAATCCATGCTTTAGTTGTACTTTGTGCTACTATTGTATAAATTAGCAAATGTCAATCAGGCGAGAGTCACTCATACCCACGGCACTGTGTAAATTTAACCTGCACTGTTAAAAATCTTATTAGGAGTTGGCTGTTCACTTTCTCTGGTGAGTACATTTAGTTTTAAGACTGCTAGACAAAATTGTCAGCCCTGTTAAAATGACAGTTAACGTGAGTTACAGATGCACCTAGCTAAGCAAGCATGCTATCTCCGCACACGGCCATTAGCTCCACCGTCTCGACCAAATATGTTCACGTCTGGTGCCGCTGGTTGCAAATACTCAACTTGGCGGCGCCCTATCGGCCAAACTCGAGGCTTCAAAAGAAAAGTCCACAAACCAACGGGTGACGTCAAGATGACTACGTCCACTTCTTATATACAGTCTATGGCATTGTCACAAAGCTGCAAATAGTGTTGTTTTTAATAGCTCCTGAATTTCGGAGATACATGTCTGAAATTTTGTAACTAGGCGGTGTTGACACTTGGGGTGAAATACAGGAAGGGGTGCTTTCATCGACTAGCAGAGGTTTGGGTTTAAGCAACACTGCTCATTTAGCAGATCGATCCCACAAACTCTTGTTGTTAAAAACCTAAAAAGACACACTTTCTTGTTCTAGCTAAAAGTATCTTTTTTGCTATAGGTCCCAATATCTTTTCAAGCTTCCCAAAATGGAGGACTTGGTATTTTCTAAGGTGAGACAATGTGCTGACTTGGCTCCCTCTAGAAGGAAGCTGGCAGACAGAGCTAATGGTTACAGCAACAGGGTCTCTTTTTTCTTTCTCCCTTTCTCTCGCCTGTCTGGGGTGGCCAAGCAGCTGTCTTCTTAGTGGTGATTCTGTTCAACCCACTGTTGGATGTGCCTGGAGGGCCCAGAGGGATCAATTATCAAGGCCGGTACCGACCCAGAACCACAGGGGGGACGTGGTGATGGTGGAGCTTTGGGGGATCCCATCAGGTCCAGCCTGAGATGGATCCACAGAGAGGAAGAAACAGAAAGGATGTGATGGCTGGGGCGTCTTAGCACTTGCTTACAAACCCCAATCGAAAGAGCTTTTTCATACTCTGCTGAACACATGCTGTCACTGGCAGATGTATAAATGCGTAAATACTCTAGAAGCTTACAGTGAGACACAAACTGGCCTGGGGATTGTCATGTGTAAACTGAAAAAAGCTGATTGTGTGAGGATGAAAACAGCCTTCATCTCCAACATGCATACAGTATGTCTGTATGTAGAGCCCCTTACCCTCTCCCGCATACAGAATAGTACACTATGCAACATTATGCTTGTGCACAAACATGTTTCCTTGTTCCTCACTTGCAGAGGTCCCCGTATGGATTGTTCCTCCTCTACTCTCGACTACAGTTTTTCTATCCTAATCCTCTTGCTATTTCCTCATGTTTTTCTGTATTTCCTCCTTTCTTTAACCCTCTTTTTCTCTTCTCTCCTTTCCTCTCTGAAAAAGTCTTGATTACAGTAATCACAGTCTTTCTCTCAGTAGGTGCCACTTCTGCTCTTCGCACTCTGTTCCCTGCCTAAATACCCCAATCATTCAGCACAGAACTAATGGAACGTATGATTAAGACATAGTTGGACATTAAATTTCTGTCATTTCAGTTGTTTCAGGAGTGTTTTCTACATTTTGAATCACTGTTTCCTGAAATGTCTGAAAATGATGTTGCGTTGCACCAAGTACAGTACTCAACAAGACAAGCAGATGCATTTGGCGGAATTTCAGGATAACAAATGCTCTTCTTTAGTGAGTTGCTCTGTATAAATCATTTCAACAAACCATTGGCTAAGGCTTATGAAATCTATTGGATGTTATGAAAGCAGCATGGCAGCCGTAAAAAAATATTCTCTTGACAGTTTTTTCCAAAAGTTGTATTTCATGCAATTATAATTTAGTGAGACAAAAAAAAACCAACTTTTGAAAAGAATGTCCTTTCCGCTAGCTGAACAAGCACTTAAAGGTTTAACAACAAGAGCCAATGCCTGATGTGCACCAACTAAAAATGACTTAAATAATGTTTCACGATGCTATACATGTGACTGGCTCAAATTTCTTTAACTCTCCTTCGCTCAAACTGCTACTGTGTCTCTTTTTTGAATTTTGTCTGTCACAAAAACCATCGGATAACCCAAGGTGATTTCCCTTTTCTCCTTTAATGGCACACTCACTCTCCCTTTTTCTCGACGAGCTCCCCGCGTCGGCACATACGGAGAGAGAAAGCTCCTTGCGCCGTTTCATCTGCCAGTCTAAAATAGTGGAGGGCACGACGCAGAGCATCCTCCTCTCTGGAGGGAGACAGCAGTAAGCCTTTCACTGAGCAAAGGAGGTATAGGAGATGAGTGCTGAGACTACATATCACTTTGCCAAAAGAGAGCTCTTTGGAAAGGCAGCAAAGGCAGCATCTCACTGAGGTAGCTGTGTGAAAAAAATGTAAATTCAAATCATTTAGCAACATGGAGGAGTAAAGTATATTGGGAGTGGGGAATTAACCCGTGGTTGCTCTGTAAAAGGGTGTCTTTATCTGCTGATTTTTGAACTTAACATAATGTAACGTATGTAGCTGCACCTGAGAAACATACCTAGTAGCTTAAACTATATAACCCACTTATTTTAACCTAAACAATGATCTTTCCCTAAAACTAAGTAAGTTGTTTTGATGCCAAAACATAATCAAACTGTGACCATTTCACAAAGTTAACCACATGTTTTATTTTGAAAGTCTAACCGGACATTGCACATTTGTTGTTGTTAACTAAGCTAACGCTAAAGGGGTACCCATTGCTTTAAAAAAGTGCCCAAGTGATGACTGTATGATGACTTTGGAGTGAGAATGGGTTGGAAAGGTTTAAGAAGGGCTTCAGCATTTGGAGAAATCCAAGGCATGACAGGCCTCCCAGGCCTAGTTACAGTTTCTAAGATATGATTAGACACTTGTAATTTAGGGGCAGGCTTTTAGTTAATTGTCAAAACTCAGGTTACATTGGTTTTGTTTTGTTTAGATATTTCTGGGCAGTATTTCTGAAAGTGATTAGTTATTTTTTATGTTCGTAAGGCACTGGCTCTCAGACTTTTTCTATCACCCCCCCCCACCACCACCAGAAGCCAAAAACAGTTCATGCCCCCCATCCCAGCAAAAGTGCTTTTAATATTTTTCTAATATTTTTTTCTGTCATTAACAACACAGGCAATTGAAATAATCAAGATTCAGGTTAGCAAAATGTTACCACATGAATCAAATTCATGCAACTTCAGGTGCAATCAAAATCCACAACCCCCCTGATGTGGGTTTACGTCCCCCCAGGGGGGGCTCAGCCCCCAGTTTGAGAACCACTGCCATAAGGCATGCATTTTGCCAGACATCCAGTTTTATGTACTCTGATACAACAGAAATAAAATAAAGTGGTTACTGATGGACATGCAGATGAGTGTCCATGTGTATTTTATTGTTTTATTACTACAGTTAAGGAAACCCAAGGAGCTCATTTATAGTCTTAGAGCTTGATATGGTTCATCTGAGGAATTCCATTTTCTGTTAGGTCAATCCTTTAGAGGACAAACTTGTCACTGTACTAGTGAGACTCTTGATACTGAAATAAATTATGTGCTATAGCTCCACAAGTGCACCTCTATTTGATATGTGTCCTTTTCAGCTGCCGTTTTTGTGCGCTGCTAATAAAAGTAACCTCGCTCAAAATGTAACTGTCAACAATAAGCAAAGTACATATCAATCTTCATATGTATCTCCTGGAGCCGGCCGTAGAAAAATCCATGTTGTGTTTTTATTGACAGGAACAACATGTACTCTTCAAAGCAGGGTCAGGCTAAGATAAATGCATGGTGAGGAGGACAGAGAGAAGGACAGAAAGTAAAAGAAAAGATTGTGAAAAGAGAAAAAGACTGAGATGGAGTCATGCAGAGAGAAAACAAGTGAGCGAAGGAGTTATTTTTAAACAGAGGCACATCAAATGGTGGCTGCTGAGATGAGTGGCATTCTGTAAGTTGAGAGAAAATGCACAGCATAATTCTAATCTGCCTTGAAACTCATACTGAGCCGTGTTGCTGACTCAAAGTATAGAAGAGGTCAGCGGTGTCATCCTGAACTACAATCTCCTTGTGTTTGACAGAGAAAGCACAAACTCTCAAACATTTGACCAATACACGCAACCCGCCTCCTGACATTTGTCCAAAATAGCCCTTTATGGGGCTATGGGGCTGAGTCAGATTGACTTGGTTTAGTCAAATGCCCGAGGGACATGTCTGTTTGTCTGCATTGATGTTTTCGCACAAACACCTGACAGACAGGTCGGACATGCTCACTGGACTGTGCATAGCCAACAGTCACCCTTAGGCAATATTGGGGCGGCCGCGGTTTGGGCTTAACCTTGAAAAGCCTCAGGGAAGAGGCCATTTGTTCAAAGCTAACCAGAGGGAGACTGAGGAGTAAATTGTTTGTTTTGTTTTTGCCCATGATTCTCCCTTGGGTCTGCAGATAACAAGAGGTTTATGTAATTTCTGCTTTGGAGAATTGGCCTTAACCTTTAATGCCTTTTAGGTAATTTTAGGTTACATGCATGGTTGTGAAGCTCTAAAATCTTCCCGAACTGCCCAAGATTAAAGGCAGCGTTATTAGGCGAGTTCATCTATCACATTAATGAATAATTTTAGAATAATTTTAAACAATGAACCGAGTCTGCTTGTTGCCAGTTATTAAAATTCTTGACAGTGAAAGCTGCTTAAACACACACGCACACACACACACACACACACACACACACACACACACACACACACACACACACAAGGACTAGCACAGATGAGTGCACATAGCTGTCCGGCCATTTGACTAGCTGTCACCAAGCTTAAAGTAGCCAATGAGGCAAGCAAGAAATACCTGTCATGTCCCGCATATTGTCAGTGTAAGCTGATGAGAGGTACATTGACATCCTAAGCGGGATATGAAATGTACAAGTAGGGCAAAGCGTACAGGAAAGCAGGGACACATATTCAGTATGTGAATATCAGCTTAGAAACTATGAATATGCAAACAGTTAGCAACACACACAAAGAGCCGTCAGTAAGAGCATGTTAACATACACGTAAGAATGCATCGGATCTATTAGTCTTTGAACATACCGTGACCACCACGTTTACATGCTCAACCCCCTGGAACACACACACTAGCTCTTATGTCTGTCAAATATAATACATGGATCCAGCTACATGTTACCTGTGAGTGTGTCTGTGTGTGGGCTATCTGTCTGCCCAGATAACAAATTACATTGTAGGTGGAACATTTAACAGCTGTCACCACAGTCTACACAACCAGATATAGTCAGGTTGGTATCCGGGCGCCATGAGACACCCAGGACTCACAACACAGTACGAGCAGCTATATATGTGTGTTTTTCTTTCAGCAGGAATGCATAAACAAGTTAGTCAGCTGATGACTAAATCATGACAGATGCATTAATGATGCCCCACCGGTCCTCAGTGTTCACCCATTGACATTCACAGATAGGGCAGCTGTGTTGTGTGTGTGTGTGTGTGTGTGCGAGTTGTGTAACATGTTGAGACCTCTTTAATTTCTACAGTAAAGACAGCGCATACAGGCTGGAGAGTGTTTACGTCTCTTGTAAAGCAAGCAGTGGGGTGAAAGCAGTGAGGGGCGGTAGGATGGTGTGTGTGTGTGTGCGTGTGTGTATGTTGGAGTTTGGGGTGAAGTGGAGAGGAGGAGGTTTGGAGAGCTGGAGATAGGGTATGAAGGACGGGAGGGCGAATGAATGGGCGGCATCTTAGCAAATAGAAGCAGTGGCGCCCCATCTGCTGCCATCATTAACATTAAGAGCGTCCCTAATTCAAGCTAATTGCTGGCGACAAGGAAGTAAACAAACCGCATACAGTTTGTGGAGATGAGCTGGAAACGAGGAGGGCGGGAGAGAAACATTTTCAGAAACATTGTGAAGTGAATGCTTAACTGGTTTTCCGCTGTTATCGGTGTACTTGTGGCTGACAGTATGCAAGCTCGCCCAAAGTGGAGCAATATGGCAACAGAGAGGGTGCTTAAATAAGCAATCAAGCACTTGAATGGCTGTGTAAATTTCAGGTATTTCTACAAAGTGTAGTTTATTGAAGCAAGACTATATAATTTTTCCTAAAAAGCCACAAGTAGCAAGGATGGTGCACTCAGTTTTCTTTTATTACCCAAGATTCTCAAATAAATATGTGTAATGTGAAATGGGTGAGCTCTTAGTGACAGACCATCTTTTGACTCTATAGTTCTCCTTAGTTCAATGGAAAATGGTTTTGGTTTTGCCCGGACTTTACTGATTTGATTCAGTCTCATCAGCATTGTTTCCTGCACAAATCCTCCAACCTAAACAACAAAACAGGTTGTTTGTCCATGTCTCCCAAAACGACACGTATGAGCATTTCCCATACCACTCCAGGTAGGTGGCAAGTCACATGACATTAAACATGTGGTTAACGTGAAATGCTTGCTTGTGAAACTCAAAATAACTCAACATTTACTTGGTTTCACAAGGAACTCGAACACTGTTCTCCTGTGTGAAAGTCCCTTACACAAACTTTCTTGCTATTTATAATTCGTCACCCTGCCTCCTCTGTTGCTACCGTTGTTCTGCCACTAGAGGTTGCTGCCACAATAAAGGTTAATATGGGTTGTAATACCGCGCTGAAAAAAACAACAAATTTGGTAGTTTTTCTGGGGGGGACGGGCTGTGCCAGAAGCAGCAGGCAGGGAGGTACTACTCAGAAGTGTTTAATTATCCTGTGCATTGATACAGCTTGTTAAAATGGCCTCAAAACAATAATGTTTGGCTAGCAAAAATGTTTAATCATTATTGCTGAATTTACAGGAATTACATTAAATGTGTCCTTAATTTTGATGTACATCACAACTGATTTTTATGCAAATGCTATACTTTCAGCTCTTTTGTCCATGTCATCGTCACTGCCACTGGCGCAGCAAGTATGCACATTATTGTGATTGTATAACCTGGAGGTGGGGGGGCTAAAAGAGAGCACTGAACTCACCGTAGTGGTTTTGACTCGTCCTCCGGGCTGTGTACAAGTCCAGCCAGATTTATTGACTAACAGGTCACAGCCTTCGTCCTCCAAACATGGCACCATCTCACACCACTGCCTTTTCCGAACAATACCAGCTGCAGAGAACACAAGGAGAGAGAGAAAGAGAAAGGTGAGAAAAAAATACAAGGAATCAACAGATGAAGAGAAATGATAGAGAGAGGTGGATGCAGAGATGTAACGATTGAATTAGAGGGAGTGGGTTGTGACAGATGGAGTAAGACAGATCTGGGCAAAGATTTAACATGATGGAAAATGGTGGAAGAGGGGAGATTTAAAAAAAAATATTGAAATACATATAAATGGGGTTTAAAAAGGTGGAGGAAAAGATGGAGAGATGTAGCGGGGTGGATTGGAGGAGCGATAAGATATGCGGGTAGATGAAGAGCAATGGAGTAAAGAGACAATTGAGAGATACGAGAGCAGGGGATGACAGTGAGAGATGGGGGAAAGATGGAGAGAATCAGACAGGTGGAGAAAGATAGAGAGAGCTGTGATCAGTCAGGTAAATAAAAAAAAAACAGCACAGATGACACATATGTCGTTTACATTTAAAACAGGATGAGATATATTGTAAGCACTGAACATACGTGTCTACCCCAAGTTTTGAAAATTTAATGCATTCCACAAGACTTTGTCAGAATAACGTGTTGTAATTTGTTCTTTTTTGAGTACTAACATTAACTTGCTCTGCTGTATTTCAGCTCTAGACTTCAGTTAGTGACTTTTTACATTTCCCAGAAAAGCCCCAGGCTTGAGCGTAATACACTCACTTGTACTGTAGGCTTCACTTATAGACTGAGCCATAATGATAACAATGATAAATATGGTGACAATTAAATGTGTGTTTCTTTCCAGTTTGAGGAAAGCGATATTACAGCTGCAATGCAATATTTCAAATCAACAAATTGTTTAATGCTTCTTGTGTTGGAGTTGTCTGTACCTCTCTCTGTTTTTGTGCATTGTGTCAGTACTATTGCCTTGTGCGTTTGTTCTCAGTCCCAACCTCAGTTGTTGGTGTGGGGAGGATGTGATTCCAACTATACGCCTGAGCTTCTTTTCAACTAACAGCAAGGAGCCAGATCATTGCCCCACTAATAAAGCAGTTGAATCAATCAGTAGAAGACAATGTCAGAGCCTTATGCTGCCACTTGTGAATGCTACCATCTGCTAAGCTAAATATCTGGCTTTTATACATTTGTTTTTTTGTGATTGTAAAGCATAAGTGTAAAACAGTCTACTTCTTTGTTATCTGAAATCAGTTATGAAACCTTACATAAAAACATAATTGCTGGCCACAATAATGAGAGAAAATTGCACCATCAAACAAAACGTGTCACGGCATGGCAGAAACTTTTTAAAACTCCCATTTTATTATTTTGTGTATCTTATCCATTAGGAAAAATTGTGTAGTGGTTTAGTGCCTTGCTCAAGTGATTGATACCTCTCACGGGTGAATCTGAGAGGGCTATGGGGGTAAGTCAGACAAATAAATGGGAACCAATGCTCTAGACTATTCTTGCCATCTTATAGTCCTACTTGGATATCAGAAATAATTTCAGTATCCTCCATTGCAACAGCAGTCAACTAGTAAAAGAAAATACAAAATAATACTATATATACAGTTGCCGGTTTCTGTGAGAGGCAATGAGGCAGAATGAATCATCAGTAAGCATTTGAAAAAAAGATGTCAAAGGATCACACGTTTTAATTAAACTCAAAGTGTAAAAAACTCTCTTCTCGCTACTTCTGAGACATTAAAGGTACCCTGTGGAGATTTCATTGTAAACAAACACTATTTTTGTAAACAAGTATTAATTTGCTCGACACAAACTCAACAGAGTTTATGAACATCATGACTGTTGTGGGAAAGAAGACAGTGAATTTAAGGGTCATTATGTACGCGCCATAATGAGGTGCTTTTGGTGTAATAAGAAAACCCATCTAAAGATAAGGTGTCTGATCACAGCCCTGTGTCACAATCTCCACAAATGAGATATTGCATTACAAAAGGATTCACAAATAAAAACTAAGCAACACATATCCACCTGAATAATCAGAATCACAGATAAGAAAAAAAAATGATAAACTGAGATAAAAGAATGGAGAGGATAAAGACAAAGTAAAGGATAAGCATATCTAGATAACATTCTTGACCATTACAGTATATAGGAAAGATAAAGGGAGAGTGATACATACATTTATGCTCATATTCGGATGCATTTATGGATGGAGAATGGCATTCTTTAATGGATATCACTGAAACCCAGAATAAATTATAGGGCATACATACATCACATTCTTTTGCCATGGTGTTCATGGCATGCTGGCTCTCTTATAAAATATAAGGGAACTGTGCTCAGTTCCATATCTATAAATCTGCTCTAAGGGCACCTTCAGTACCTGTCATAACCTCGCATGTAGATCATCAGTGAGCACTGTACCCAATGTTAATATCTGTTCACCATAAACAATATCTATATATCAATCAATTCAAGAAATATGTATACCCTCTCAAGCACTGCATGGATAAATAATGAAAGTACTATGAATACATTGTCAGAACAGTAACAGTGATCTTGAAATTGACACCACTGACATACTGCTTGAAGTTGAATTACTTGGTGCTACTGTGGTTCACCTCAAGGCTAGCTGAAACCATGTATGACTATTTTCACCCTTAGGGACAAAGTTACATGTGGGGAACAATGCAATTTCATATAGCTCAAAAATCTGAAAACTGTTGTCAGCAATGAATTTCTCTCCGTGGTCAGCCCTGCTACACAGGTTAGATATAGCTCTCTGCCACACATACATAACCACATTCCCCTGCTAAGTTTCTGACAGATTTCAAAAGTTGTTGCTATGGACTCTATACAGTTTGCCCATGAAGTTTATCGTTGGCCATCCATTTCTGGATATCCAGAGAAACTAAGCACTTGTCAGCCCCATGTGGTCCTTTGGATTAGGGTGTTTCTTAACGCCCCAATCGAGTTTGCATCCCTATGGGGTTCAGTAGACCCCTCTCCCTTTGCACCCTTCTGACATTTTATTGTCAGAGAGCAGTGTCTGACAATGTTTTTGACTTTTCCAAACCAACAATCAGAAAAGCTTGCCCACTTTATGCAACTACTGGCCAGGTGGGCGGGGGCTGGATAGTTGGCAAGATTTGGGTCTCGCTCCTCTTTATGATGGCTTCTCGTGAACTAATTCTTTAAAACATTCCCTGACTAGCGTGTCCGTAAAGGTGTTCTTCAGGCATGCGTTCTATCACCCCTGCTTTTCTCCATACACATAAATGACGTGCACTGGAACAGCAGTGATCTCTGCCTCACTGCACACTCGTGTATGCTGAAGATGTTGTCAGCGTGGCGCAAAAAGAACCTCCTACTGTCAAGACACCATCGGTCTTCATAGACCCCAAAGATCACCAGGAGCTGTTTCAACAAGACAAAATTATCTATCTACAGTACAAGCCAATCAACATAGAAGGGCAGGTCACTGGCAGTAGTAACTTTTTCTTTTTAAAGTCATTTTTATTTTATTACATACCGGTATTTATTTATTATTTGCATTGTGTCTTTAGTGTGGTTTGTCCTCATTCTATATCCTGTTGCGGGAAGTATGCCAGTGCCAAAGACGAATTTCCATTTTATGTAAATCTAAAGGACGAAAAAGTGTCCTGAATCTGCATCTACAAACAGCACTACCTCAGTAGTAGCAGTAAGTGTGTAGGAGAGAGGATGTAAAGCAGGCGTTGTAAATGTAAAGGCTAAGCAAGAGAGCAGAAGAGAAAATTAGAGGACATGTTGAAAACATACCGTTCATTGAGGTGAAAGGAAAAAACTTGTCAGATGTGATAGCCCGAGGTCTGTCAGTGTTCTCAAGATTTATTTTCTTCCTTTTCTTTTTTAATCCATTATCGTGAATTTATCTAATTTATCTGAATGTTGTCAGCAAGGTCACTTATGGGTTTTGTTTCGTTTCTGAATTACCATCCAGTGGGGTGACCCTTAGCTGATAAAGATGTATAGCGCTGTCAGGTAAGTAATCATAATGAGGGAGTGAATGCTGTTATGTGTAATGTGCTCATCATGTGTGCTAGAGATGTAATTTATGACTGACAGAATTATAAAACAGTTCTATTGGTGATGACTATGAAACTCTTTATTTTACTCATCTGTCGGCGCTACCTCCAACACAATCCACAGTTGCCATAACTACTTTAACTATTACTAAATGTAAACACAAACCATGGTAAAACAAGCATTACGTTATGTTTTGATCCCATCACAGCTGCTGTTGAGACCTAAATTATCACAGTGACAGACCAACACAGATGTAAATGCATCTCATGTTGACAGAAGAGATTTCCATGTGGTTTGGGAGATGATTCATAAAGATGTGTGCTCCTGGCATCTTAACGTTAAACAATGGTAACACCACAACTGAATGCTGCACTGATTAATATTTTTATATCAATAATGGATCAATCAGTGTCAGGCAGCTGTTTTCACTCTGATAAACACTGTACATTACCTGTCCAGCACTAAACGGCAGCCAGATAAAAATGAGTGACAAGGTGGTGAACATAGTGGAGCATGTAGCAGCTGAAGAGCCACATATTTCACTCTGGAGTTGGTGGAGACCAAAACTGAGTCAAAAGAGAGCTAATTTTGGACTTAACACTACATGTAGTACATGTAGTACAGGTGGCCAGAAACACGACTCAGAATGAATGCTAGTGTTGCACCGTATATGCTATATGTGTTAATAGGCAACTGTTTGCTTACTTGAAGTTATTAAGTGAACTTTGTCAATGTTTTGTTAGCTTGTTGTGCTGCTCACAAGTGGCCAAAAACTCATGTAATCCGCGATTAAAGCTAAAACTATCAAACACTCACCACCTGTGGACTTGAAAGGTGGCTCCGAAAACATTGTAGCTTGCTCCTTTGTGGATGATGTCGGCTGTAGTTAGTTTGGATTCGCAGCAGTTACAAAGGATTCCAAGTGACCCAGTTTCACAGTGAAATAAAAGTATCAAAATCCAAAGAAACTTCTCAAACTTCTTCCGCAG